GTTTTTCTCTTTTTATTTTTGCAGGTAACAGGTCGGGCTTCATGCGAAGAACCCGGTCGGGATCTGACCGGGAGTTGCCCGAGCAGTAGTGTCGACCACCGAGCGGTAGCCCTTTGGCGAGAGAGCTAACGAAGGACACGTGGCAGCTCTTTACGACGACAGACAGGGCACCCGGGAGGATGACACGTGGTGGCTACGTGGAGAACATGTCGAACGACCGGATTCTTGTCCCCGGCACAGCGGCTATAAATACCCACAGTAGCTACAGTGTAGAGGACTTTTGGACGATCGATAGGTTGTTACTAGAGAATCCCGACCGCAGTCAGTCGGCACTCAGAGCAACCAAGTAGATTGTACTTAGGGCCTTTACCGTGATCAATAAAGTCTTTTACTTGCTTTAATTGGTCTCGGGTTTATTTTATATTGCTTACGTAGAATTAGCAGTATCACTATTGTTTATTTTTTATTTTTTAAATTGATTATTTTACTCAAAACGACATCGTTTTGAACAAAATAACCATAAATTGTTTAAACTCATGTTTTTTAGGTTAATATTTAATATTTTAGTATTAACTATTAAAGTATTAAATATTTTATAATTATCAATTCTTAAAAAATTTTAAAAATAAAAAAATAAAATAAAAAATACACGGGTGCCTAAACGCTGATTAATCCCCGCCTAGGCGCCCTAGGCGCTTGACGCCCCTCGAGCGCCTAGCGATTTTTTCAACCATGCTCAAAATCATGTCATTTTGAGCAAAAAAAAAAAAAAATCTTAAATCTTTCAAATCGATCGCAATTCGCAAACTCAAAACAAGTAAAAATAAATAAATCAAAATCATCAATTTTAATATTAATACTTTGTGAGTTGTGAATTTGTGGAATTGTGTTTTGATTCTTTAAATCTTTATACAATTTACAATTCTATTTGTATTTTAGGTTAATATTTAATGTTGAGTATTAAATAGTTTATAATTATCAAATCTTAACAAAAAATTTAAAAAATTTTAATAAAAAAGCCCCCCAGCGGAGGAAGCCTATCAATTTTTGCAACTTTGATTAAAATAAGAATTTAGTTACCAATTGATAATGCCACATGAGGAATAAATCAAAGGAGAAAATAGAGGGAAAAAAAATGCTGCAACCCATGTTGGTCGGTAATTATAGGAAATTCATCCATGCGCAAACGGATGTGTATGTCCCAGCTAATTATGGTCACCATCCACAATATATTTTACTCCATTGACCTAAATAATTTAACCTCCCTTCTCAAGTCTGCACTTTCCCCTTAGCTCATTTATCTTATTATAAACTACAAGCTGAAGTATCATTTATGCAATTCCACAGTGACTATTTTTTTTTTTTTTAATCGCCCCCACCAAGACTCGAACCTATCACCTCTTAACTGAATACCATTGGACCACAAGGTCCTTGGTTCCACAATGACTCTATAATAGTTTGTAAAGTGGTATTTAAGTTGTGATCAAATTTTTATTTATGAATTAATTGTTTGCGGCAAATTATGCTTGGATCCAGGTCCACCTGGTCCACCTTGCCACCTTGCAAGGTGGACCCGAGTCCAAAACGGCGTTATTTTGCTTCAAAACGATGTCGTCTGAATTTTAAAAAAAATAAAATTATTTCCTTTATTGTCATTTGTCTTCCGAATTCGTTCCTCTATGTTCACAATTTTTGAACTCTATATCCACAATTTTAAAACTGAATATTCACAATTTTAGATCTCAATATACAAAAATACAAAATTACAGAACTCTATATTCACAATTTTTGAACTATATACTCACAAAAAAAAAAATTATTGGTTGAGGAAACGGTGCTACTAACATCATCGTTATTCTAGACGCGCAAAGTCGCGTCGTTTTGGACCTGGGTCCACCTTGCAAGGTGGAACCGAGTCCATAGCATAACAATTGGTTGTTTGTGGTGCAGTTAAAGGTGGATCTAAATTCTATTGTGAATTGTACCATCAAGGGCCTTTTTGTTTTAAAGGGTTCCAACATATAATTTCAAGTTGTTAACCAACCTGGTTGATAACACTCAACAATCAATAGCCAATACCAGATCAGATCACATGAACACTATTTCAAGTTTATTGATAGGAGGTTGCAACTACACGTACTATTATTGCTCATTACTTTCATCCTAAAATGCATATAAGTTTTTGCATTAGATTGATGCGTGCTGCGCCATTTGTTTGACCTTTCCTATGACAATTTCTTGGCGTGTTTAGGTTTATCGAATATATACTTTTTCCATTTGTGAACCATGAAATCAAATACCTCTAAACTTGATTAGTTGGTCTGTCATTCTCAGTTAACAACACCAGCCCTTCAATTAATTATATTATAGTTTAGTTTTCTTCTCTACATGACGCTATAATTATTTTAAAACATCAAATTAAAGTTGACATTTACCAACACAAAATCATGCTTAATGCGCTAAACTTGCCCACTAAGAACATTCCCTCGTATCAGCCGTCAGATCTGACCATCACTTTAAATCCACGGCTGCAACCTTGTGGAAGTCCGAAGTATCAACTTAGGCACTATTTGGTAACATAGTTAGCTTATCAGTCAATTTTAACTTATTTGATCACTATTAACTGTTTAACTTGTTAAAACAATTAATATAAGTGTTTGATTAATTAGCTTTTTTTAACAGCTTATTGCTCCAAAATGCTAAAATTTAAAATTCGATCAGCTTTTTGAGAAAGTTATTTTGCATGTAATTAGCTAACATCTAATTTACCAAACACTTTTCTACAATCAGCTAATGCTATCAACTAGTCAAACCCACTAACTCAATCAGCTAACAACTATTTAATTACCAAACACCCCGTTAGTGTTTTAGTTGAGATAGAGCACATGTTTCAATCTGGTATCAGAATCAACCCTATACCAATGGTTAATGTTTGAATCTTCTAGTCACTTGATAAAAAGAGACTATAGTTCACGTGTGGCTTGAAATCCGTCAAAAGTAACGGCTTGAGCACATTACAGAGTAATATATAAACTTTGTCATCCAACTATCAACTTAGAATTTTAGTTGAGATAGCATATACTAGAGTTGGCATCTACCTGGACTTGTTCAATTGGGTAATCAACGGTGTGGACAAAAGAAAAGAAGACTTGGTAACTAGGTGTAGAATGGTCAGCTACTCAGCTATACCTCTGCCCTGGGTTTTCCTCTACTACTATATGTAGTATTAGTTTAGTCTCTAAAAGCCATTGAAAAAAGAGTAAGAATAAGAAAATGGGGAAGGGGAGATGGAAAGGCGGCTTGCGTTTCTTCATCATCATCATCATGATCACGCTAATTGAATGGAGAGCAGAAGGGCAACTAGCAGAGAATTTCTATGCTTCCACTTGTCCCAATGTAGAACTCATAGTTCAGCAGGTTGTGGCCACAAAGTTCAGCCAGACTTTTGTCACAGTACCCGCCACTCTTCGTCTCTTCTTCCATGACTGCTTTGTTGAGGTACTATATATATGTACTTACAATTTATTTACCAAACCGAATTTGTTGGGCAGAGGTCAGTAAAGGTCAAGTCTATCCCCGTGACTGGCCTGGGGTTATTGGGCAGAAGCTAATAAAGGACTTAAAAGGTCAAATCCAACACCCCGGTAGCTGGGGGCCAAGATAGTTGGACGAAGGCTGGTAAAGGGCTTAAAAGGCCAAATCCAGTATCCCGGTAGCTGGGGGCGGGCTTTTCTAGCACCTGGGGGATTGTTGGGTGGAGGCGGGTAAAAGGCTTAGAGGCCAAGTCCACCACACAATGTCTTGAAAATGTGAGGTTTTGGCTGAGTAGTAAGCGTTTGATCCTAACAGAATTTCTATTATTTCTGATTATAACTTGGTTCAGGGATGTGATGCTTCTGTGATCATTGCTTCACCAAACGGAGATGCAGAAAAAGATTCTTCAGACAATCTGTCTCTGGCTGGGGATGGCTTTGACACTGTTGTGAAGGCTAAGCAAGCAGTAGAGGCTCAGTGTCCCGGAGTGGTATCATGTGCAGACATCCTGGCTATTGCTGCCAGAGATGTTGTAGTCATGGTAACAAAAACCTTATTCTTTTGCCTCTTTTTTTTTGGGTTCCTATATACTTTCAACAACCTAGAACAAACAACCTAAACTGTCAATGATTCCAGGCTGGGGGCCCTGCATTCAACGTCGAATTGGGGCGCCGCGATGGTCTTGTCTCGAAGGCATCTCGAGTCAAAGGAAACCTGCCAGAACCAACATTCAACCTTGATCAGCTCAACAGCATGTTTGCAAAACACAACCTAAGCCAGCTTGACATGGTTGCCCTTTCAGGAGCCCATACTGTCGGGTTCTCCCACTGCGACCGCTTTGCAGAGAGGATCTACTCCAACCCAGTGGATCCTACCCTGGATCCCAGCTATGCTCAGCAGCTGATGCAAGATTGCCCCCGGAAAGTCGACCCCACCATAGCCATCAACATGGACCCCACAACCCCCCGGGCTTTCGACAACGTTTATTACCAGAATCTGGTTGCAGGGAAGGGGCTGTTCACTTCAGACCAGGTCCTCTTCACTGACACAAACTCTCGCACCACGGTCATGGATTTTGCCAATAACCCTCTCGATTTCAATGGGGCTTTTGCTTCTGCAATGAGAAAGCTTGGAAGAGTTGGTGTCAAAATTGGTAGCCAAGGAGAAATCAGGCTGGACTGCATCAAGTTCAATTCATAAAACCCAAACCCACAATTTCAAAACCACTACTTTGCAATAAACAATAATGGATTTGTAGTTTTAATTTGTACAATCTCTGTCACTCAAAATGTTCATATATAGTCAGTCCAGAAATGATTGTTTTCTTTCGAAATTCTGTTCTCTTATCATCAATAAACTTTGAAATGAAGTGCATTATATATATTATATTGTCTCTGACCACCCATTCAGAATGGTAACAGAAGTGTCATCACATTACATAGTAATTGGCAGCAGCTAAGAAACACAGACACTATTGTTCTCAACAATAAGGAAATGTAGAACAATATATATACAACCTAACCATGAAGGAATCCTAAAAGCATTGTTTCTTTATCTACGAGATTTTCCATAGAGGTTAGCATAGACAGGTTTTGTTCGGTACACTAGAATCGCGCTCAGACCAGATGCAATAATGCAAAGAGCACACATGATCAGAGAGGTCAAAAAGAAGCAAACAGCGCCTTCGCACTTGATAGGCTCACCAGAACTGAGAGCATAACGGCGTTCTTGGGCTTGCTTCTCGGCCTCTATATCGTATATACTGCTAGCAATAACGCCCGAGAGGACTAACGAACCTCCCGGGTTTGCCAGAGTGAGGAAATTGTATAAAGCCCCGAAATTTCTTAACCCGAATAGTTCAGAAGCTGCAGCTGGCACAATTGCCCAGTGAGCCCCATAGCCCAGACCAACCAAAAGAGTGCCAATGTACATTGCCCCGGGCCAACCCATTGCAAAGAAGAAATGCCCAAATGCCATTATAACCTGGGCAACACCCATGGCTACATGCCTTGGATAACCATACTCTCTGACAACTATTTCAGAAAAATAACCGCCCCCAACTCGGCCTAGGAAGTTCCAAATGCTGATCATAGAAACGAAAACCTGCACGTTATCGTACCCTAAAGACTCACTCATTTGACCCAGATTATCAATCACGGTTAAACCAGATCCAGAGCCAAACAGAAGAGAGAAAAATATAAGCCAAAAATCAGCCTTGATTAAAGCCTGGGTTAAGGTAAAGTCCTCCCCCCTACGAGGACCCCGTCTCGTTTTAACCCTCACCGCTCCTTCTGCTGCTGCATGGGCTAGTTTCGCCTGCAGGTGTGCGATTCGTTTCTGCCTTTCCGAAGCAGGAAGCAAGTCTACATCCTTAGGCTTCTCATCCTCGACCTCACTAAATACAATGTTGTCATTATCTTTTGTCTGGGGCTCGAGAAGTGGCTCTTCTGCTGATTCTTGCGAAATACTCACACTCAAATACACAGGGACTATAACGGGGATTACAAGAAGAACAAACAGAATTGCAGTGAAGATTTTGATCATGGTTTGGCTGACATTAACTAAGTCTTGAAGAAGCATTACACCCATCAAGTAAGCAGCCAAAATGAGACATATGCTATAGATGAAGGAAAAACTTATTGAGCATTCTGATGCATTGATGATTTGTTTGTGATGAGCTCCAACTTGCCTGATGAAAAACATGAGAGAAGTTACGACGATTGCGGGTCCAACAGCAACCATAAATATGAGAGAGGCATGATCTGGGGAGTGCACCACTGCATATATCTGTGTCAAAATTGCTCCACTTAACCCAGCAAATCCTTTGAGTATCCCCACCACAGGACCCCGGCTTTTGGGGAAGTTTTGAACACATGACACAAGTGTTGCTGTGTTAAGGTATGTCTCACCATTTGTTCCCACGAAGATAAGAATGCACATCTGCACACCAATGTAATAGTAAACTCTAAATCTGTTGCAGCCGTGTAAACTTTGGTACCAATTAAGTTTACATAATGCAAGAACTAAAGGGCCAAATTCATCAATTGGTGGTTAGGAGGATTGTCAATTGGTGGCTGTCTAAAGGAAATAAAGTTGCGTCTTCGCTGTTAGTTATAACTTTTGGCGTAGTGGTAAGCGTGTTTCATCCTAACAAGATTAAGTGCTTAGAGATACGCCAAAAGCTATAGCTAGTAGTGCTGGACTTGGCTTTTCAGGCCTCTGCCACAATCTTACAACTAGGCTTGCAAAGACACAACTTTATTTTCCGATATACTGCCACATTTTTTAGAAGTAGGTGCTGAATTTGATTTTTCTGACTTCCACCCAACAATCCCTTAGCCACTGATTGCTGAACTTGTCCCATCACTGGCCTCCCACCAATAATAGTAGAGCTCATTTCATAAAAGAGAAACAAGCTAGCTTAGGCATTTTAACTTATATATGTCTTGTTTGGTAAAATAGTTAGTCTATCAGTCAATTTTGGTTTATTTGACAACTATTAGCTATTTGACCTGTTAATAATCAATATGAGTGTTTGATTAATTAGCTTTTTGTAACAACTTAGTGCTTCAAAATGCTAAAATTCAAAAAGCTGCTCAAACTAGCTTTTTCGATCATTTTGTTGAGAAAGTCAACTAACAGCTAATTTACCAAACACTTTTCTACAATAAGCTAATGGTATCAACTTGTCAAACCGACTAACAGCTATCCGCTAACAACCATTTATCAAACACCTCCATAATAAAATGAGTAAGTGAGAAGTGAGATAGAAATGTTGAAAGTTGAGCAGGGAAACAAGGGAAGGGATTGATGATATGATACTAACAGCCCATAATGGCAAAGCTGGAGCTCGGGCGGTGAGGATAAGCCAGACCCAACCATAGCCAAGGAAGTTCTGAATGGCACCAACAAGAAGAGTAGCCCATAATGGCAAAACCTCGGACAAGGTTCCAGCCAAGAACCCAACGCTATCCCCCAAATCCTTAGCCACGCCCAAGAGAGCCACCTGTTTCTGATTGTAATTCAGAGATTCCTTTATGATGGGCGAAATGCTTCCGAACAGATACCCAATCCCACCGCACGTCTGAATCCACAATGCAGCCACGAACACCAGCCACCGGTTGTTGAACAAACCGCCGAGACTCTCTTTAAGTCCACCCATTATTTCAATTTTCAAATTGAATTTATGAATGATAATAAAGATGCATGCATGCTATCTTTTAGTCAATTTTTCAGTCAAGATCAATGGCTTTCTTGTGCATTATATTGTTCAATGATTATGCATTAAATGCAATATTTAGTTGGACGGACATTTATTTGTTTGGAGTATTTTTGTCCGCAGAATAAGTGGAATGTTGTACAGATGGAATATTTGTGACAGATGATGTTATGTTACGTGTGAGGCAGGAATGAAGATTCAATCTATCTCTCTGCTCTACTTGTGACCTTATCATTAACGAATGAAGAGCACGCCGCTCAGATATAACTGTCGTGTGCGTGTGCACTAGGCACATGTAACTGTCGTGTGCGTGTGCACTATGCACATGTAACTGTCCTATATTCCTGTGCCAAGAATTTCATTATCAATCTCTGCAAATTGTAGTAAAACTAAAATAATTAATATATTATGTATCTCTCATTAACAAATTATTATGTAATTTATAAATAAATTGAAGGTATATAAATAAACGTGTAAATATCCAAAATAGTCTCTCAACTATAGCTAAATTCATAAATTGGTCCTTAACTTTTAATTTTAACCAATTAAGTCCTTAACTTTGCAATTTTAACACGATTTGCTCCTCTTTTTATTTGGCCGTTTGTTGACCGTGATCTCTGAGGATATATATGTAATTTCACAGCTCTCGTCGGAGCACGTGGAGGCCTCCAGGATGACGTTGCACCGGTTCGGAAGCACGTCGTCTTCTTCGCTCTGGTACGAACTCAACTACATTGAATCTAAAGGAAGGATGAAGAAAGGCGACAGGATTTGGCAAATTGCTTTGGGCAGTGGATTCAAATGTAATAATGCGGTCTGGAAATGCAACCGGAACCTTAAAAAATTGACGATGGACCATGAAATTACATATATATCCTCAAAAATCACAGTCAACAAATGGTCAAATAGACAGAGGACTAAATCGTGTTAAAATTGCAAAGTTAAGGACTTAATTTGTTAAAATTGAAAGTCAAGGACTAATTTATGAATTTAGCTATAGTCGAGGGACCATTTTAGGTATTTACTCTAAATAAACTGAAGATATTATACACTCAAACGGATATTAAGTGTACCCATTGAGTTGAGGAAATTAAAATGGAGTTTTGAAAGGTTTTCAAGGAATTTTTGTCTCACATTGAAAATATATGTAACTTGCACTAAGTATAAATTCAATTCGACTTTTTAAAAAGTTTCAATTATGTGGGGCGTTCTCTCTTGCACAAAGAATAGGTGTGAAAACAAGTCAGCCAAGTGGCCAATGATAATTTATATCGTGGACTATTGTGGACCCTGGATCAAAACAACGTCGTTTGATATTTAAGTTTTAACAGATTTTGTAATTTTTCGTTTCTTATGTTTCAACACAAATTTTAATTTATTTTAGACACAGAATCATTATGTGTAATGTACATAATTGCGTAACATGATATACAGAAATGCATAACACGAGATACATACACATGTTTTCTATTTTACTTATGTTCATATCTGATTTATGTAAATAATTAATGTCGTATAGGCACACATAATTGCATAATATAAGACATAAATTTGTAAACTAAGACATACAATGTGTTTTGTATTATACAACTACTAATCAATTTCATGTACAAAATTCTTATGCTTAATGTACAGAATTACGTAGCATGATGTACGAAAACGCATAACACGAGATACATACACGTGTTTTCTATTTAACTTATTATGATATCTGATTTGTGTAAATAATTTACGTACTATAAGCACATAATTTCATAATACAATACATAAATTCGTATAATAAGACACATAAGATATGTTTGTGTTATACAACTACTAACTAATTTCAGGTACAAAATCTTTACACTTAAGGTACAGAATTTTGTAACATAATGTACAGAAACGCATAACACGATGCATAGAAACATGCTTTACAGTAATTTAAAAAAAAAAAAAAAAAAAAAAAAAAAAAAAAAAAAACTATGTAACGCGAATTGAAAAACAAACGATCTTCGTTAAATTTAAAATTTAAAATGACGTTGTATAAGATCACAATATATCGAGGCAAATTATGTTGTGCAACCATATGCACCATGCATAGTGCACACGAAATTGGATTCATAATTTCTATACTATAGATTCATAATTTATATAGTATAGATTCATAATTATTGAACTCTATATTCACAATTACAAAACTCTATGTTCATATTCCCAATTGTTGAACTCTGTATTCACAAATCACTGAACTATATGTTCATAATTTGATAACTATACAATTTAGAAATTATGAGTCTATAGTATATAAATTATGAATCTATAGTATAGAAATTATGAATCTACAATTTAGAAGTTATGAATCTACAATTTAGAAGTTATGAATCTACAGTATAGAAATTATGAATTTATAGTATAGAAATTATGGATCTATAGTATAAAAATTATGGATCCAATTTCATGTGCACCTTACATAGTGCACACGGTTACACAGCATAAGGCGGCAAATTATACTGTGCATCCGTATGCACCATGCATGGTGTGCATGGTGCATACGGATGCAAAAACGCCGTCGTTTTATTAAAAACGCGCGTCTCCCCTTAAAAAAAAAAATTCAGGTTCGATTCCCAGCAACAACATATGAACTAAAATTCCAGAATCGATGAACTAAAATTCCAGAATTGATGAACTAAAATTTCAGAATCGATGAACTATAATTCCAGAATCGATGAACTATAATTCCAGAATCTATGAACTAAAATTCCAGAATCTAATCTATGAACTAAAAATTCCAGAATGAATGAACTAAAATTTCATAATCTATGAACTAAAATTTCAGAATCGATGAACTACAATTCCAAAATCGATGAACTATAATTCCAGAATCAATGAACTAAAATTCCATAATCTATGAACTAAAATTCCATAATGAATGAACAACATAATGCTGTTGCTAGGAATTGAACCTGAATTTTTTTTTAAGGGGAGACACGCGTTTTTAATAAAACGACGTCGTTTTTGCATCCGTATGCACCATGCATAGCATAACTACTCGCATAACGCTCCGTATAACGATTGGCCGCCCATGTTGGCTGGCCTGTCACAAGCCGAAGGAGAAATGGGCCAGAGTGGGCCATTTTCAGCCCTATTGCATACTTTTTAACCTAGCCCACAAGCCCATTTATTATTTAATTAATATATGTTTTAAATATTAATTTTTTTTTTATCATTGAAGATCCAAACATTTTATCTTTAAGTTAATCATTAATACTTTTTCCAATCTAACAACATAGACATTTTGAGAAAATTCCGTGTGTGCTTGTGTGTGTGTGTGTGTGTGTATATATATATATATATATATATATATATATATATAATGTATGTTTTGATAATTATATTTTAATTTTATTTTGTAATATAATTATAATTGATTTAATATATATTCAACACTAGAATGATTTATATGTAATATTTGTATTTTGTATTTATAATACTATTAAGTTATAAAGTTTATAAAATATATAGCCTATAACTTTATACAATTTATGTGAATGATTTACATAAATAATTAAATATATAATTGTACAATAGAAACCTAACAAATATCCTTAGCATAACTGGTATTATTAAGACTAGATTAATTGAAAGCTTAAGGCTTCAATTCTTACCATAAACAATGTTTTCAGATACTAATATAAATCAATTAAACTAAAAAAAAAAAAAAAAAAAAAAAAAAAATTGTTTGGATGAACAAGGGGGTTGGGTGAAGTTGGGTTATGTGAGTTAAATTAAAATATATATTTGGATAAACAAGGGGGTTTGGTGAAGTTGGATTATGCGAGTCGGCCCGTGTAACTCACGATGCCTACTATTTTACTTTACCTCCTGTGGTTTAAATACAAATTTGAATGCCATGAATGCTAATTTCTCAAATTCTCCCAATATACATTATGTTGGCAGAGTGTTTTTGCAATAAGAAAAATTCTAAGCATTTATTCTCTATATACTAAAAATTTCTCTAAACCTTTCTGCAAACTCATCCATAAAACTCTAAGTGCTCTGTTTTTGTTCTAGCTCACTGAGTTAGTATATTTGAGTACTCAAATTTACTATTGTAATTCATTGTATTTTGAGAAACTGATATTTCAATATTACTATACCATTAGAAAGAAGCGAATCAATTTTAAGGTAAGTGTGAATATAACACGACTTGGATTAACTAAGAAATTATCGATTTTATGGAATTAGCTTTAAGCAAATCGATTTTATTCCTATTCCAATATGAAATTGTGTTACATACAAATTTTTACAGAGTTATTTAAACTTTTAGAGGTCGATTCAAATTCTTCAAAATTTTATTATAATAATACTACACACCTCTCCTTTTTTTTTTCTTTTTTTTTTGAAAGCACACACCTCTCCTATATTTCCCCTTAAATCTTCCCTTTCGTAACATTATATTATCTAATTGGACAGCTATTTTCTTTAAAAATAATAATAATAATAACAGTAATGTCAGCTAATTCGTGGCCCCAATAAATGGAAAACACATCATGAAGGGAAAGATAGAAAGGGGACAAAAGGTTTTCCATTTTATTAACATGTAAACATTACAAGACATATTTTCATTCCGTCAAAAAATTTCAAAATGAAAGTCCTTTAAAAAGAGGAAACTGATAAATAATATCATGATCAAGCAATTGGGAGTAAAATAACATTATATTTTTCAAAAAAAATTTATAATTTATACCCTTCACAAATATGTCAATTATCAATGTCACCTATGAATTATTGGTGGTATAAATGTTGCCCTCAATTTTCAAAACATGACATATATTGCCCCTCCCCTGAATTATTAGTAGTGTAAATATGGTTACCCACTGTTTTCTCAGTTCGATTACCATGTTTTTTATATATTTTTTTTTCTTTCTTCATTTGTTGTCCTTCCGCCGACAACCATGTTTCTCCTTCTTCCTATTAGGGGAGGAGCAATATGCCAATATATGTCATGTTTTGAAAATTGAGTGACAACATTTTTTACCATTAATAATTCATGGTTGACATTGATAATTGACATATTTGTGGCGACATAAATCACAATTTTCCCAATTTTTCAATAAGAGAATAAAATTTCAAAATTTTTGG